ACTCTATCTATTAAAAAAACCGCATCAAAATCCGTTGCGTAGTTTTAAAGATCTAAGCATACATACGGACATACAGCGAAAGCTTTGTTTTATACTATGTATTGATATATGTATATATATATATATATATTGAATATTGATGTAGTCTGAAACTAAGATTTTCTTCTAAGCTGACTGCCTCGTTGGTCCCGGGTTGTGCAAAGTGCCCGGTATAAGGCAATAGGCCCCCTATTACATGGGACTCATAACCTAAATAGTGAAAAGTGGATGTTACATTGTACAGTGGTGTTAACCTTCTTCATGTGAGAAGAGGCTTTGCTCAGCAGTGGGCATTTATAGACTGTTGATGTATGTAATTCCGGACTACCGATTGGGAACCACTGGCATATATAGATTAGATAGTAAGTCTGTAGGTCACAAACGTGACTGCCAAGCACTAAGTATTTACCCGACTTTATCTTCGTATCAGTGAAATTGATTGGTTAGATTTCTTTTGATGATTTCCAGTAGCCTTGAGTGTGAATTTGTAAATAACATACGAAAATGAATAACGAAAATGAAAATGATACTTAGATATAACGAATCAAAATTTAGGAGTAGGAGGTACTTCATGCGATACTTCAAGTCCAATATATCTTCGAAAATATTCGTTTCCGTAGGAAAATAAAAAATACGTGTCTAATGTTTTTAAATAATCTACCAGACGGACATTGAAATAAAAATTAGTCATCTACCCTATTTTTAATATAGGATATAGAAATATTGCGATAACCACACTGCCACTACAGAAAGAACTTGCACGGTTCTCACACATAATCTTATATATACATTTGTCTGGACTTTAAAAGAGACAGACCTCTGAGTTTGTTTCGGCATTTCTTCTCAGAGTAGTCAGTTGGGAAATGTCGGCCTCATCGTTCGCTTGATAAAATTGACGTGTAAAAGTGCTGCCTTGTAGCCTATTTGCAGAAATAAATTCACTTGTTTCACTTGTCGAACTTAAAATATTCCAATTTATTATTGTGTCTGTACTCTACCTATTAGAGTTTGGGCCGCTACAAATGGGGTCCGAACCATTTTCCCTATAGTACGTCCCTGTAAATGAGTTCATTGGCTACATAAAATTATGTTCCATATTCCTGTTAATTATTTTTTGGGATTTTTCGCAATTCTATGATTAATATTACAGGAGTATGTTAAAGGAAACAGAATTATTTTACCTTATTAATATTAGATTAATATTACTGTGTCTAGAATTGTGCCCAGTATATGGCAATAGGCTCACCCCCTATTACATGGGACTCGTAACATAAATAGTGAAAAGTGGGTGCTACATTGTACAATGGCATAATGTGCATCTCTGCCTACGCATTCGGGGATAAAAAGCGTGATGTTATGTAGTCTCTTACTGCCGATTTCAATAACTCGTCTCATTTAGTTGTACGGAGGACATTAATTGCATGAAGTTTCTCTCAAAAATCGATTTATATCTACAGATTTAAGATTGAGATTATTGAAATCGGCAATTACTTGGATCTAAGAAAGTGTCCTAAGAACTGCAAGTGCGCAGGAGTTTGTAACAAATCTATTCTACTAATACATGGCACAATTACCCTACTTCCCCAATCTCCACAATCCCTAAATCCCCAACAATCCTCAAACTCCTAATCCCCAAAAGGCCGGTGACGCACTTGTAACGCCTCTGGTATTTCGTGTGTCCACGGACGACGCTGATTGCTTACCATCAGAATCCATCTGTTCGTTTACCGGCTTATTTCATGTTTAATTTTAGCAGGATAATTATGAGGAGGAATATTGTAATTACGTAAGTGCTTATTTTATTTGTAAATAAATACTTTATTACTACTACTCATTAGGTAATTGGGTCTCCAGTAACCTCACTCACACGACGATATACCTCTACAACGCAGCCGTTGTTTCACGTCAGTTTTCTGCTCCGGTCGAGCCGGCCCATTCTTACTGAAGCATGGCTCTCCCACACGAATAATACGGTATTTGACAACTAGTCAAGTTCAATACTTTTTTCGAACTGTCAAAAACGACAGTTTTCTATGAATTTTGTACGAGATTGTGTATTGTGACGTCACGTTTTTTTTAGCGTCAAACAGAGTAGATATTTCTTAAAAATGTGCTAGAAAAATACTAAAAGTAAGTTGGTCATAAAATCAATTAATGAAAGTGTGATTATTTTTTAATATTTTATTGTATTGAACAGTCGAAATAATTCGGCTTCGCACGGGTGCAATATGCATGTATTATACTCTATCTATTAAAAAAAGCACATCAAAATCCGTTGCGTAGTTTCAAAGATTTAAGCATACAAAGGGACATAGGGACAGAGAAAGCGACTTCGTTTTATACTATGTAGTGATTAAGGATAGTATCCAATTGTTATGTTTGATGCTTTTCAGCTGTCACTCTTAAACTTTATTTTCTTATAAATAGGTCGGTAAACGAGCATGTATCACCTGATGGCAAGCAATCAGCGTTGCCTATGGATTCACAACACTAGAAGAGCTACAACTGCGTTGCCGTCGTTTAGGGATTTCGGATTGAGCAGTATGCATATGTAAGCACCATAGACTATAAGATTTTTTTATTTTTTTTTGTGTCATTTATAAACGATTTGCAAATTAAAAGTTAGTTGATTTTTATTAATGTAACTACCTCATTGGCCGATTGGTCGCAAGTACGACTGCTAGGCAAGGGGTCTCGGGTTTGATTCCCAGGTAGGGCTAAGTATTACTGGGTTTTCTAAAACATCTAAGTAGTAGCACGGAGTCTGGAAATGTGCTCGGTATATGGCAATAGGCTCACCCCCTATTACATGGGACTCGTACGTAAATAGTGAAAAGTGGGTGTTACATTGTACAGTGGCATTAAGTGCTGTAATGTGCATATGACAAAAGGCGTGATGTTGCCAATGTAAATATTTATGTTGTTCATTAGATAACGATTACTTAGTTAATTAGTATTATTTCATTTGTTTTTTTTTTCTAAATTCGTAGTCAATAGAACATAATTACCTGTTTTTATAATAATTATCGAGAGACAGAGAGAATATGAATTTTAGAACAACTTTCTATTGTTATATTTTCCAAAATAAAAGTAGCTTATATTACTCCTTAGTACATCAACTACCTGCCAATAGAAGTCTTGCAAAATCGGTCCAGTCGTTCCAGAGATTAGCTAGTGTAAAGTGACTGACAGACAAAAATTGTAAAAAATGTTTTTTTTTTTGTTATGTGTATCGTATGTATATTCATATGCATGTAGTATAAAAGCAGTTATTTTAATATTACTAATATAACATAACATCATGCGTTTCATCCTCGAAGAGTTAAGCAAAGGTACATATTACTTCGCTTAATGCCACTGTAAGTACAATGTAGTCAAAGTCAAAGTCAAAATCATTTATTTCAATTAGACCAGGATGGCACTTTTAACTCGTCGAGTACCGGTTTTGTAGACACAATTATAGAACAATAGGTTGCGGTCACCGGTGACCGCTTGGTGTTTGACAGTTTAAACGTCAAACAACAAAAATTTAGAAGTGAAGCTATTTGCTCGTTCCAAGATGTAGATTCCTATGGAGAAGAACGAGCAAGAAACTCCATAGGTTACTCTTTTTCAATCGGGTTTACAATACAATTCTCTAGTTACATAGTTTTATTGGTTCGATTGTATGTAACATCCACTTATCACTATTTATATTATGAGTCCCATGTAATAGGGGGTGAGCCTATTGCCATATACCGGGCACAATTCCAGACTATGCTACTACTGAGATGTTTTTTTTTTAATTCTGTAATGCTTTCCGCCTGACCCGAATCACCCTCCTTCACTAATCCAACCTCCAATTACATGGGACTCATAACATAAATAGTGAAAAGCGGGTGTTACATTGTACAGTAGTATTATGTACCGTAATGTGTACCTTTGCCCTTGGGGGATAAAAGGCGTGATGCTATATTTGAAAATATAAGCTGGGGGTGGCGACAAATGTTACCTTCGCCCATTTTTCGCGCGTCACGCCTATTCACGAATGTAACGCCTACTTCTCAGTAGTTATGCTATGAGTCCCATGTAGTAGGGGGTGAATTAGGGGTCGCTATTATTATAAACTGAAGATTATTTCAGTTACCGAGATAAAGGTTAAGAAAATTATCGAAATACCACTATTATAGAACTTTGCAAGTGAATCATACTTGAGACCCTATGTTCGACAGTTGTTTTTACTTTTTAAGTTTTTTTTTTAATGTAAAAACTGCAGTATTTTTAAAACACAGTCCTTTCCAAAAGTAGGATGTATAAAATAAAAAGATATGTTATTAGTAAACTTTATACATTTGTTTGCATTGAAAATATTTTTCACAATAGCCAGAAATCACACAAAACAAAGACGTAAACTATTTTTGTTAATTTACTGAACAACTACATAGTTTTTTTACAGCATGCCGCGCATTCTTTAGCTATCTACTGCAAAATAAATTATTATTCTTAACTTTTTTCGTATTTTTTTTCAGACTTGTTTTTCAAACGAGTTTAAGGTAAGTACAATTTCCCAAAAAGGTCATATTTAAAATACTGACTGGGTTATCGTCTATTTACTATTTTTCGTCACGTTTGTTCGAAATATGCGCAAAAAAGAAGAAACAAAAAAATTGTTCTTTTAATTTTAATTTATTTTTACATTTTGTTGCAAAAAAAAAATGATTTTTTAACAACGTCAGAAAATTATTGTGTATTTCTCGATAAGCACCTAATACGATGTAGTTTTTGATCAGAATATAGTTTTGAAAAAAGAGGATTTTGCAAATATAATGAACAATTTAATTTCACCTTTCCTTAGGGTAAACCGGTCGTGATCTGTAACGCGGTACTCCGACAATACTTAATTGAACTCAAAAATCCAGTTTCAATACTCCCAAATGCACTAAACGACTGTTTAATATTAAAAAAGAAAAACAAGTACTAACCTGTCCACTTTTACGCAAAATCCATTTAAAACGAAACACTTTAATTTTGAAAATTACGAAAAAGGTCCACACTTTTATCAAAAAAAAAATTAAAAAAAACGTCACACAGCCATAAACAAACTTTTTGCACAAAAACAAATGTCAAATCGAAAAAAAAAAGTTTAATTTTTTAATTTGTAGTATAGTTTTTATTCACAGAAACTTTTTCGAAAGTTGTAACGTGATTTTGGCGGGAGCGAGCCTCGACGCGGCGTGTACGTGTAAAATGGCCGGCACGATGCCCGATACTGAGTGACATTTGTGGCCGTATAGCTACGCGACCGTTGCCAATCCCGCCAACGTGTTACCATCGCGCCATCGTACGATACTATACTGCCTCGAAAATTGATACGTCATACGTGCATTTATGTATGTACGCGTTATAAATTATGGTATGGATGGAAAACGTATGCAGTTGCAGTCTTGTTCGTAAATTATATGATGTAATTCTATGTAAGTTACTCCATGCGTTTTTTTTTTTTCAGAGTTTTTATTTTTATCGTTTTTGAATTTCTATTCCTAAATGAGGTTGAAGTGTTTATTCAATTAGACTTATTTATTTATTTATTTATTTATTTATGAACGAATGGAAAGTTAAACGTATTTTTTCGGATTTAATGCTTTTAAAATAATAATAATAATAAATTCTTAATTGAACAACAATGGATTTGTACATTACTTTGTGTAAAACTAAGGTACAGAAATGGAAATGCAAATTAATTATTAAGTAAACCCTGATTTCCAAACTAGGCAGACCCTGTATGTTGGAAGTCAGTGTTCGACCGTCATACTGTTTTTTTATCTAGATCTCATGAATGTAGGTACAAAGCTATCGCTAGTTTTTTTGCTTTTCATTTTTTACTTCAATAAATATTTTCTAGAACAGTTAAGGATTTGGCCAAGGTAAATGACTTCTGGGGGCACGACAAACTGAAAACTAATTTTCAAAAGCCGTAAATTTTGTTTGACCCATATGTCACACCCGAGAAATGAAATAAAATGAATGAAATGAAATACGTTTATTCGGCATAAGACATGCACACAAGAAAAATAAATTATACATTATGACAAAAATAACAATAAAAAGGTTTAAAAACAGACATAAAAAGAAAAAAATGATAATAAGGTAAATTATATAACTAAAGACGCTAATAATGTCAAAGTCAAAGTCAAAATTATTTATTTCAATTAGACCATAAAGGCACTTTTGAACGTTAATAAAGAAAATTAACAAGTGAAGCTATTTGCTCATTCCAAGGTGTAGATTCCTATGGAGAAGAACAAGCAAGAAACTCCATACCCAGGTTACTCTTTTTCAATCAAGTTTACAATTCTCCAGTTACATAGTTTTGTTGTTTGGGTTGTGCGAGAACAATGTAACACTAAAATACAGTCAAAGAGATCGAAAAAAAAATAACCTCAAAGGACATTAAAAAAAAATACAGTCAATAATACAGGTGCAATATACTGCGCGGTGTTGGCGGACATGCTCAATCCGAATAGATCTCCAACTCAGCATAAAGCTGGGCACAATGAGCACTCAACGCTGATTTTCAGACTTCAAGACTTCTAGGTGACAAATTGACCATAAAAGCAGTAATTTTTTTTATGGAATAAGTCGGTAAACGAGCAGACGTAGGTATCACCTGATGGTAAGCAATCGGCGTCGTCCATGGACACCTGGAACACCAGAGGTATTATAAGTGCGTTACCGGCCTTTTGGGATTACGAGTTTCATTGGGGTTTGCAGTGGGTATTCAGGGATTGGGGAAGGGGGGGGGCTTGGGCCTCCGGCAACCTCACTCACACGACGAAACACAACGCAAGCGTTGCTTCACGTCGGTTTTCTGTGAGGCAGTGGTATCACTTCGGTCGAGCCGGCACATTCGTGCCGAAGCATGGCTCTCCCACACTTATACTGAATTGAATTAGTCTAAAATAACAAAATATGGAACCATATGGTCATAATTATGAAGCCATAAAACTTTTGTGACACAATCTGTTCTCTTTGCAAATTATAAAACTTTATCCCATGGGAAGGAAGACAGGTATAGTTAAAAAACATCTAAATATTGTTCAAGAGGGGAGTGAATAGGTTTCTTAAGGGTCGACAAGACGCATGTAATGCCCCAAGTGTTGCAGGCGTACATAGGCCACGGTAACCGCTTACCATCAGGTGGGCCGTGTTTTTTTTGCCACCGTAGTGGTATTAAAAAATTAATTAATTATTGTCTCCTTGGATAAAACGTTTCAAGTTCGATTCCCAGAAATGGAATGTAAGTACCTACTAAATACAAATTGTGACCGGTATTTCGAAGTAGTCTTTGCCCACTATTAAGGGATTGTTAACATAATTTGCAAAAAATAGGTACCTACATAACATAATAAAATATATGGTATAAGCCAGTAAACGAGCATACAGATAACCTGATGGTAAGCGATCAGCGCCGCCATTGGACACCCGCAACACCAGAGGAGTCACGGGTGCGTTGCCGGGCCTTTACTCAATATTATGTTGTGCGAAAATATCGTGCCATCTCCGTCTATTATAGAATTTTTAGAGACACAACTATACTCAAGCACGACTTAAAAGTAGCCTTTCCGTATTTTTTTAAGGGGTTAAATTATCGAATGATTTCTACCGCCTGGGTGAGGCGGGAGGGAGTGTCAGACTCTTACTGACTAAATACCACCAGGTTCTTACTCTTGCACTTCGAGCCGGAGCCCCGATAACCCGTTAGGTTCTCATTGAGGCGCGCGCGGAACGCGACGCGCCGTATGTTCGGGTCTGATTCTGGTCGGGCGGCGAGCCACCTATGCTTGGAGCGTAAGACTGCCTACAATCACATGATCAACTCACTTGATGATTCATCGAAGCATAAATGTCAAGCCAGCCATTTCAATAGTTTAAAGCTTGATTGAAAGTGCAAAACACGTCAACGTGTGTTGTATAATGTTTCAACCTGTTTCGATATATTTTCGCACATTTATTTTACGGACTTTGGTCTTTAAAATAAAAAGAACGAAAAAGTTGTTTTGTTTTGTGGCGCTGGCGTCGGTTTTCGGTTCCGTAGACTTAATATGAAGCTGTTATTTATTGTATTGCCGACGAGCATGCATGAAAAGACTGATGAGTCATCAATGATGATTGTTGATGAAGCGAAAGAGGTTTTTTTTTAATTGGGACAACCCCTCCACACCCTCCCAAAACCGCTGCAACTCCTGTAAGCCAGGATCTACAGTAGATACAACCATGAAACCACCGGAACACTGAAGTCCGGCGCGTCCCAGGGACGTGAATAACTGTCTTGGTTCCCGCAACGAAGTGAATTAGAAGATATTATAAGAGGAGAAGAAAATAAACGATAGCTAAAGAGGTATGTAAGAACCGTTGTGATTGGTGTTCTATAGTCTGCCCTATCGGAGACAGGCATGAAGTTATGTATGTACGTACATAATTTATACCGGGTGTCCTGCTACTGCGAAATTTCGAAAACCCGAATTAAAATTCTCCACTACCAATTTGCCGGACTTGGGAATCGCGTTATTCAGTCTAGAGACCCCTAGACCAAAACTGAAAAATGTAATTATTGTCACTAGATCACTGAGTGCTTCGTTGGCCGAGTGGTCGCAAGTGCGACTGCCGGGCAAGGGGTGTCAGGTTCGATTCTCGGGTCGAGCTAAGTATTACTTACTGGGTATTTTTAAAAAAATCTCAGTAGTAGCACGGAATCTGGAATCGTGCCCGGTATATGGCAATAGGCTCACCCCCTATTACATGAGACTCATAACATATAATGAAAAATGACTGTTACATTGTACAGTGGCATTAAGTGCCGTAACATGCACCTCTGCCTACCCCTTCGGGGAAAAAAGGGGTGTATATGTAATATAATAATGTATACAATTATGTTGTATTAGTTTCGACTTAGAAATTATATTAAATTTAACCTGTTCATACGAGAAACTCACATAAAAAGCCTAAATTAACATTATTAATAACGAAAGATTTCAACGTCGATCCGCGCCGAGGGACCTCTAAAAATCACGCCACACCGCGCCGCTACTTATGCGCAGGCGCACGCTTGATATTTTACATGCCTTCTCATGTAATAGGGGTACAGAAATATGAATTATTATACATGGTGTGATAAATCTGAACTTACAGGGTCATGGCAACAACAGGTGACATTCCATTGAACGAGCTTTTCTGACGGACAAACTGAATGACGTGTGGACGCGGAAGTGTGGGAGATCCATGCTTCGGCACCAATGGGCCGGCTCAACCGGAGTGATACCATGGCCTCACAGATAACCGACGTGAAGCAACGCTTGCGTTGTGTTTCGTCGTCTGAGTGAGGTTACCGGAGGCCCAATTACCCTCCCCTTCCCTCCAATCTCCCCAATTCCTGAATCCCAAACAAGCCTCAAACTCCTAATCCCCAAAAGGCCGGTAACGCACTTGTAACGTCTCTGGTGTTTTTTGCCTTTATATTTCGCGACTCGCTTGAGTAGCAGTGAGTACTTGAGTAGCAGCGCGACAGTCGCCGCGTCGCGGGTCGCGAAATGCTGCTCATGAATATGAGCCTCTAGCATGGCTTGAAACTAGTCGAGCTCCTCATCAAATTACTACGTGAATAAGCCGAAAACACAATAATTTATTTAGTACGTCTCACGAAAGTTACAATACAAATAATGGTATCCCCAAAAATGAAAAGGGGCCGTCCATAAATTACGTCACACGTTAAGGGGTAGGGAGGGGGTCGACGAAGTGTGACATTGTGTGACAAGGGGGAGGGGAGGGATCCTAAACTTTGTGATGTCAGATTTCAAAAACTATTCTAGAACACGAAATATAATTGTGTATTAATGTTTTTATTTTGTTTGATTTAATATTTTCTAATTAATTTCTAAAGTAATTTAAATAGAAATAAAACTGATTTCGGAACCGCTGTTTTCATTCAATAATTTTTATACATACATACGTGTGTTAGGTTATCGATGCAGAGTATAATATTTTTATACAATAGCCACGCTTGCTAAATGATATTCTTATATAAATACTTCAGTTCCTTTAAGTTTTGTTATGCAGAGTATATTTTTATATAATGGTAACACTTGCTAAATATTATTAAAATATTATTTTGTAGAAGTTTTAATAAGTTAGTTATTTTATTTAAATACTTTTACTATTATTACAAAAATATGAAAGGTTTAGTTACATAATTAGTAAATTATTTGAGTGAAGCTCATTTTTGATGAATGTTTTTGGCAATGTTAGATATTACACACTTTTGGCGGGA